CCCCCATTAAAAAAAACCCAATAAAAGTGTGAATTCTCAATTACACCCCGTTTCATTAGATGTGACATACATAATAAGATTATACAAAAGCTTACTCAGATGTGTTATTAGATATGATTCACGGAGCAAGTTTTTTGTTGATATAACCTTGTACTGCTGGGTGACTTGAATTGATTCTGGATAAACGTTTACTATATATAAAAGGAATGCAAGCTATAGCTACGGGGGAGAAGAGCAATACAAGACTTACATCTATAAGACTTATTTTAGTACAGACAAGAGCCTATCTATACTTACATGACAAACCAAGTAACACTGTAATGCGTGAGCTTCACTATTTTAAGTAAATGGTGAAAAACCCGACTGAAATGTAAAACAACTAGAAAAGGGACAATGATTGGGGGACTGTGAATAAGCATATACAAGTATGTTTACATACATATAAAACTGTAACATTGAGCATAAGAAAGTCAATGAATATGTACCATACATTAAACACCGATACAAAAGGTGTCTAATGTATACAGGAACACATTTTGTACAATATTATCAATCAGGTAGGATGATGCCACTTTTATGTAGATAATCAAAATTAAGGTTTAATATGAACTAAATATAAAGTGAAACTAGTGAACATATATGTCCGACTAAATTTCATTACAACAGTCTACATATAATAATACTCACAAACTGAATGGAAAATATAATTTTAAACACAAGGAGTAACATCATAATGAACAAATACATCACATGGAAATTTTTTAATCCTAGGGTTATTCATTAATATAACTCATATATACATATTTAGTTATAAAATTTGAACATAGTGAATTTATAAACAGCAGATTAATGGTTAAGAACATGTCGGTCACAAACGGTTAGTACACAATATGTATACCTACTTTTATGATACACACAATAGTAGGGAAATATACTCTGAACTGGTTTGTGGATTGACCCACAAATGTTGCATAATATGGGACTGTTGTAAATACATACTGGCTATATTTATCAATAAAGTAATTGGATGGATATTGAATTCTAATACGATCATATGGTAGGGAACCTTTTTATATCAACATATTTGAAAACATAAATGAGCTTTTCTGTAGCGCACGATTCATTTATTCCAGATGTAGAAGGCAGGGGTACTGTGATACTGTGATTAAGCGATCTGTCTGAAAGCCGCAACAAATGCGGCGAAAAGGATTTTTTTGATGGGTTAGGACAAACTCGATTTGAGTAGGCAGGCGATATCATGATAAGAGGATAATTCGCTCATGGTTGTGACAACAGCTTTATCGCCAGTATTGTTACGAATCACCATCCTGCCATCGTTTGTCCAAATACCATTACTATTGCCCTTACGTGTATTGAATGGCAGTTTAGCAAACAACAAGATCAAGAAGAAGAAAAAAAATGACATGAAAAGATTGAAACATTACCGTACAGTTATTAAGGTAGAGTGGACAAATTGTATAACAGGACATTTAAAGTCACATTCAAAATACAAACGACATTTAAATAAATAAACATAGTGGCCTAATTCCCCACCCGCGTGCTGGGTCAAATCTCCCATTGTTCACTGTTGTCTAATCCCGATCAGCTAAGGCATACGTACCCAAGTACAGCAGTGAGCTACGACATACTGATATCGGGAGGCACAGACGGTGGTGGCAGGCGACAGGTCAGTATGCATAGAAAATATATATTAGTGAAACAAGAATGGCAGTAAATGAAATATAATATCCGTTATGTGTATATGTTTGTGTATTAGAAAGGACATAAAATTAGCAATTGTTAGATTTAACACACATCGCTTGGAGATTAGGTGAGAACCAATGCGTTTATAAAAATGCAGCTGAAAACCTTGATCAGAAACGTACAAACATGTATATAATAGTATATCGGTGCTATCTGTCTTCCTTTGTCGGGTAATCGTGCAAAGTGTATCGGTTGAAAATCCGAAAATGTCCTTTTGTGTTAATACATTTGTGTTTGTTTTGTTTATGATTTTAGCTATCTTACAAAACACATTATACTTTTTCGTGTAAATATGTATGAAAATCACAGAGGGCGTACATTCATTGGAAGGTCTAATAACAGTATTTTCTTCATATAACGTGAATGTTTTAAAGCACCCTACACAACTATTTCATTATTCCGTTGAATTATATAAACACCTTGTTAAATATAAACAATTATATAAACACCTTAATTAAAACTATATTATATATACAGTATGCAGGAGGATGCTGCCTTTCGTTTCGTTTTGGTGACTCCTCAGTTCCTGTTGTTGTATTCCTATTTAGTTTGGTGTCTCCTCAGTTATTACGTTTCTTGTTTTGGGGTCTCCTTAGTTCCTACTGTATTTCGATTTCGTTTCGGTGTCTCCTCGGTTACAGTTATTGTATTTCTTGTTTTGGTGTCTCCTCAGTTCCTGTTATTGTATTTCCATTTTGTTTTGGTGTCTCCTCAGTTCCTGCTGTATTTCCATTTTGTTTCTGTGTCTCCTCAGTTCTTGTTGCTGTGTTATTATTGTATGGTGTCTCCTCATTTGCTGTTGTTGAGTTTCTAATTTTGTTGTCTCCTCATTGACTGTTCTTATTTTCTTTGCATTGGTGTCTTCTCTTGTATTATTGTTGCCCTTTGTTTTGTTACAGTGTATTCTCTGATTTTGTTGCTATCTTTTCCTTTGTTTTGTGTCTCCTCTGTTAGGGTTAGGGTTTTCCTTGTCTTTTGTTTTCGTGTCTCCTCTGTTAGGGTTAGGGTTTTCCTTGTCTTTTGTTTTTGTGTCTCCTCTGTTAGGGTTAGGGTTTTCCTTGTCTTTGTTCTTGTGTCTCCTCTGTTAGGGTTAGGGTTTTCGTTGTCTTTTATTTTTGTGTCTCCTCTGTTAGGGTTAGGGTTTTCGTTGTCTTTGTTCTTGTATCTCCTCTGTTAGGGTTAGGGTTTTCGTTGTCTTTTGTTTTTGTGTCTCCTCTGTTAGGGTTAGGGTTTTCGTTTTCATTTGTTTTTGTGTCTCCTCTGTTAGGGTTAGGGTTTTCGTTGTCTTTTGTTTTCGTGTCTCCTCTGTTAAGGTTAGGGTTTTTCTTGTCTTTTGTTTTTGTGTCTCCTCTGTTAAGGTTAGGGTTTTCCTTGTCTTTTGTTTTTGTGTCTCCTCTGTTAGGGTTGGGGTTATCGTTGTCTTTTGTTTTTGTGTCTCCTCCGTTAGGGTTGGGGTTATCGTTGTCTTTTGTTTTTTGTGTCTCCTCTGTTAGGGTTGGGGTTATCGTTGTCTTTTGTTTTTTGTGTCTCCTCTGTTAGGGTTGGGGTTATCGTTGTCTTTTGTTTTTGTGTCTCCTCTGTTAGGGTTAGGGTTTTCGTTGTCTTTTGTTTTTGTGTCCCCTTCTGTTAGGGTTAGGGTTCTCGTTGTCTTTTGTTTTTTGTCTCCTCTGTTAGGGTTAGGGTTTTCGTTTTCTTTTGTTTTTGTGTCTCCTCCGTTAGGGTTGGGGTTATCGTTGTCTTTTGTTTTTGTGTCTCCTCTGTTAGGGTAAGGGGTTTCGCTGTCTTTTGTTTTTGTGTCTCCTCTGTTAGGGTTAGGGTTTTCGTTTTCTTTTGTTTTTGTGTCTCCTCTGTTAGGGTTAGGGTTTTCGTTGTCTTTTGTTTTTGTGTCTCCTCTGTTAGGGTAAGGGGTTTCGCTGTCTTTTGTTTTTTGTCTCCTCTGTTAGGGTTAGGGTTTTCGTTGTCTTTTGTTTTTGTGTCTCCTCTGTTAGGGTTAGGGTTTTGCTTGTTTTTTGTTTTTGTGTCCCCTTCTGTTAGGGTTAGGGTTCTCGTTGTCTTTTGTTTTTGTGTCTCCTTTGTTAGGGTTAGGGTTTCGTTGTCTTTTGTTTTTGTGTCTCCTCTTTTAGGGTAAGGGGTTTCGCTGTCTTTTGTTTTTGTGTCTCCTCTGTTAGGGTTAGGGTTCTCGTTGTCTTTTGTTTTTGTGTCCCCCTCTGTTAGGGTAAGGGTTCTCGCTGTCTTTTGTTTTTGTGTCCCCCTCTGTTAGGGTAAGGGGTTCTCGTTGTCTTTTGTTTTTGTGTCTCCTCTGTTAGGGTTAGGGGTTTCGTTGTCTTCTGGTCTTGTGTCTCCTCTGTTAGTGTTAGGGTTTTCGTTGTCTTTGTTCTTGTGTCTCCTCTGTTAGGGTTAGGGTTTTCGTTTTCTTTTGTTTTTGTGTCTCCTCTGTTAGGGTTAGGGTTTTCGTTGTCTTTGTTCTTGTGTCTCCTCTGTTAGGGTTAGGGTTTTCGTTTTCTTTTGTTTTTGTGTCTCCTCTGTTAGGGTTAGGGTTTTCGTCCTCTGTTAGGGTTAGGGTTTTCGTTGTCTTTGTTCTTGTGTCTCCTCTGTTAGGGTTAGGGTTTTCGTCCTCTGTTAGGGTTAGGGTTTTCGTTGTCTTTTGTTTTTGTGTCTCCTCCGTTAGGGTTGGGGTTATCGTTGTCTTTTGTTTTTGTGTCTCCTCCGTTAGGGTTGGGGTTATCGTTGTCTTTTGTTTTTTGTGTCTCCTCTGTTAGGGTTGGGGTTATCGTTGTCTTGTTTTTGTGTCTCCTCTGTTAGGGTTAGGGTTATCGTTGTCTTTTGTTTTGTTCTTGTCTTCTGTGTTCCTGTTGTTGTCATCCTATTTTCGATGAGTCCCGGTTTGTGACACTGCGAGTCTCCTCCGTTAGGGTTGGGGTTATCGTTGTCTTTTGTTTTTTGTGTCTCCTCTGTTAGGGTTGGGGTTATCGTTGTCTTGTTTTTGTGTCTCCTCTGTTAGGGTTAGGGTTTTCGTTTTCTTTTGTTTTTGTGTCTCCTCTGTTAGGGTTGGGGTTACCGTTGTCTTTTGTTTTTATATCTCCTCTGTTAGGGTTAGGGTTTTCGTTGTCTTTTGTTTTTGTGTCTCCTCTATTAGGGTTAGGGGTTTCGTTGTCTTTTGTTTTTGTGTCTCCTCTTTTAGGGTTAGGGTTTTCGTTGTCTTTTGTTTTTGTGTCTCCTCTGTTTGGGTTAGGGTTTTCGTTGTCTTTTGTTTTTGTGTCTCCTCCGTTAGGGTTGGGGTTATCGTTGTCTTTTGTTTTTATATCGGGTAAGGGGTTTCGCTGTCTTTTGTTTTTGTGTCTCCTCTGTTAGGGTTTGGGTTATCGTTGTCTTTTGTTTTGTTCTTGTCTTCTGTGTTCCTGTTGTTGTCATCCTATTTTCGATGAGTCCCGGTTTGTGACACTGCGAGTCTCCTCCGTTAGGGTTGGGGTTATCGTTGTCTTTTGTTTTTATATCTCCTCTGTTAGGGTTAGGGTTATCGTTGTCTTTTGTTTTGTTCTTGTCTTCTTTGTTCCTGTTGTTGTCATCCTATTTTCGATGAGTCCCGGTTTGTGACACTGCGATATTTGTAATAGTGGTTTATATGCAAGAAGGTGTGTTTTAAAGCATATCAGACTTTGCCCGTCCCTCGGCTCTTTTAACACTAGCTAACTGTATAGCCACAAAAGCGTTTCGTCTTTTCGATGTTTTAACCCTTTATACAAATAGATCGGAGCTTTTATTGGGTATCGTACGACGCTAATCAGTCTTACGTCAGCTTGTTTGATAAGGTCCGTTATGTATTGTAATGTATTACTTTGATCCTCGGTGTGTAATCTGTACGTACATTGTCGCCTACCAAAATATCTTTTCCTCACTAGTGCTGCTTTATGGTTGTAACAATAAACGGATTAGAAACTGACACATATTGATATTCAATATCAGAAAGAATTTTAAATAGCCCTTGCTTTAGGTCAGGTTTCAGATATTGTGTTTCAATATTATGATATTAACTTACAATAGAAGAATTTTAAATGTACCTTTTTATATACTTATTATCATGTATTGTGTTTCACATTTGGAATTATAAATGTACCCTTTAATAGTCTATTTTTCATGTATTGTGTTTCAATATTTGGTTACTGCCGTACATATTTACTTAACAAATATGCTATGTGTATTTTAAGACTATTTGTATCCTTTAATGAAAGTGTGTATTGCGAAAACATCCCATGATTCAAAGTATTTACATATGTAGGATAGAACCGGGGTACTAACGTATGTAGGATAGAACTGGGGTATTGACGTATGTAGGATAAAACCGGGGTATTAACGTATGTAGGATAGAACCGGGGTATTAACGTATGTAGGATAGAACTGCGGTATTAATGTATGTAGTATACACCGGGGTACTAACGTATGTAGGATAGAACTGGGGTACTAACGTATGTAGGATATAAACGGGGTATTAACGTATTTAGGATAAAACCGGGGTACTAACGTATGTAGGATAGAACCGGGGTATTAACGTATGTAGGATAGAACCGGAGTATTAACGTATGAATGATAGAACCGGGGTATTAACGTATGAAGGATAGAACCGGGGTATCAACGTATGTAGGATAGAACCGGGGTACTAACGTATGTATGATAGAACCAGGGTACTAACGTATGTAGGATAGAACCGGAGTATTAACGTATGAATGATAGAACCGGGGTATTAACGTATGAAGGATAGGACTCGGGTATTAACGTATGTAGGATAGAAACGGGGTATTAACGTATGAAGGATAGAACTGGGGTATTAACGTATGTAGGATAGAACCGGGGTACTAATGTATGAAGGATAGAACCGGGGTACTAACGTATGTAGGATAGAACTGGGGTATTAACGAATGTAGGATA